ACACGATATTTCTTTTTTAATAGAAGTTCAAAGTTTTTAGCCCCAAAAAAATCGATATCGAAGTAAGAATCGAATCGTCGTGCACTTTTTCTGTATAGAGCATCTGTTTCGGTAAATGCAACATTCCATTCTGTACATATTAGAAAGTATATCATATTAGTTTTGATCAGCCGGAATATACAACCGCCGTATTTGTTACTTTCCTTGTGTTGGGGCAAAACCGGGTACTTACACATCTCATGTAATGAAAAGAGGAAGAACTGTTATCCTGACTTTGTCTCCCTACAAAAAACAGTTGGAAACGAAAACTAACACTCAGAAAAAGAAACCACTAAAAAAAAAAGCTTTTTGAGACCCCTAAAGTTAAAAAGTTAAATAAGGAAGTTCTGCAGCAATGTCGAACAAGAGAATATCTTTATTTGTGATTTTGGTCAATAGAATACATCTCTATATTGTATTTTGATTAAAATAAATTTAGATTTTGTAATTACACGGTGTTTTGCATATTTTCAAATGGGTACCCGGTTTGACCCTACCGGTAGGACAAAACCGGGTACTTTGACTTCTCCACGAAGTCTTGTTATTCTTGGTAATAAAAAATTTTTTTTCAACAACTAGCCTTATTTTCTCATAATTTAAGGTTCACTAAAGACTACTAACGGTCGGCAAAATCTTTTTTACTCTCAGGTTTTTTGTAGGAAGACAAATCCAAAAAGGTACCCGGTTTTACCCTACTTTCCCTTATATAAATTTTACAATAACAGTCTAGAATATAAAATTATTATTACATAATACTTATGTCCTCAAATGTGAGTGGATTTATTTAGATTATTATTCTTATTGTTAGTGGATCATGTAACCTATTTATTACAAACGCATGCACATGTTTTATAATATTTTAAATTTTTACATTCATCAATATTTATTGTGGGGTAAGATGCCACATTTTTGTCGGGGAAAGATGACAGTTCTAGCATCTTATCACGGCATGCAGATATCGACATCAAGTTACTTTCTGTGAAATCTAATCGCAAAAGTTAGTATTATACAATTTAGTATAATTACAACTATGCTGATTATTACGTAAGGCATATTTTTAAAATTTATCTTGATTAATTCAAAAATATAGCGTAAAGAAATGACTCTATGCATCTCTCTATCGTTTCGTCGCTTATACTAAACGCGATCAGCTGAGTAGATTAATGATACTCTTTATCGAAAAACTTAAAAATTATGGAGCGGTGGCATTTTATCCAGTTGTTTAGCATCTTACCTACATTTAAGAGAATTTTTGTTGTTGTTACTATTAAAATAATAAAAGAATTAGACTTGTTTAATTATAACCAAATACAAATATAATGACGATACTGTCCATTTGGTTCAATTTTCTTTTGCTCATAATTAATAATTACAAAAATATTGCCTTTCAAAGTTAAGTACGGCATCTTCCCTCGAGTTACCCTATAGAAGCCTGTGGTGCGAACAGAGAACAAGGGATTTCACTTACCTGTTCTCGCGGAGAACCATGGAGGCGTTTGTTGAGCTCGCGCACGGAGAGTGACACCAGGAGATCATCGTCCATGAGTTCGTCCTGAGGATTCGAGCCATTGCAATTGGAGTACAGGCCATTGGTCACACGATGAGCCGGATTGCGTCCACTAGCGCCGCAGGAACTCACGGAACAGACACTTAATGGTCTGCCCGGTTGCAACGGTATCCCTTGCATGCTATCCTCCATTCCCTGCATCACACCCCCACTCGTAGGAAGCATTCCTCCTCCTGCGCTTGGACCGCTGTAATACTCCAGATGATTCGACATCGCCAGGTATCCACCTATGCCAAAGATATGAGCGTGATAATGAAGGATATAGAAAAATTCGCCAGAAAAGGTAACGAAAATACCAACATGTATGAAATGTAACAAGACGCTAGTTCCAAATCGTTTATTACAGATACGTAATTTTTGTTCTTTCCAAGCAACACACTGCTGCTATATTCCTGATCTATTTTTTTTAATTTCAAACAATTTTCTTTTTATGTATAATACTGTACACTTTACTTAGTCAAAAGCGAGACTTTAAGTAACATTTTTTGAAAATTTTTTAAAAGTTTAATATGAAAACTATAGTCTCAAGATTATTTTATATAAGTATATAAGAGAGATACGAGGACTGACAATTAAGTTCGTAGAAAATATTTATTACAATTACAGAACACACTTATTCGTTATTTAATACACGGTCCTCTTTAAAATAGTCCCTTCCTAAAGCAATGCACTTGGTCCAATGTTTTTTCTATTGCAGGAAGCAATCTTCAAAATCATTCTCCGTGAGGCTGTTTAGAACACGCGTCAACTATTCCATCTCCGCTCGTGACCTCCAATGACGATCCTTCATGTCTTTCTTGATCTTGGAGAATAGAAAAAAAACGGAAGAAGTCAGATCGGGTCCCCTCTGACTTTTTTCTATTCCCCAAAATCAAGAAAGACATGAAGGATCGTCATTGGAGGTCACGAGCGGAGGTGGAATGGATGACGCGTGTTCTAAACAGTCTCACGGAGAATGATTTTGAAGACTGCTTCCTGCAATGGGAAAAACGTTGGACCAAGTGCATTGCTTTAGGAGGGGACTATTTTGAAAAGAACTATGTATCAAATAACGAATCAGTCCAATGTTTTTTCCATTGCAGAAAGCAGTCTTCAAAATCATTCTCCGTGAGGCTGTTTAGAGCACGCGTCATTCATTCCACCTCCGCTCGTGACCCCCAATGACGATATTTCACGCCTTTCTTGATTTTGGGAAATAGAAAAAAGTCAGGGAGACCCGATCTGACCTCCTCCGATTTTTTTTCTATTCCCTAAGATCAAGAAAGATATGAAGGATCGTCATTAGGGGTCACAAGCGGAGGTGGAATAATTGACGCGTGTTCTAAACAGCCTCACGGAGAATGATTTTGAAGACTGCTTCCTGCAATAGAAAAAACATTGGACCAAGTGCATTGCTTTAGGAAGAGACTATTTTAAAAGAAACCGTCTATTAGATAACGAATAAATGTGTTCTGTAATTGTAATAAATATTTTCTGCGAACTTAATTGTCAGTCCTCGTATATAATGTTAAAATTAATAGAAGAAAACATTAAATTGAGATTAAGTATCGATTTATTAGAAATATAACAATTCACTCTTTAAAAAATAATTTTTACAAAGGTATGTAACATTAATGAGTCGAAAATATCGAAGTTCTGTCGAAAGTATCAAAGTTTATTGTTGCCTCCTATTCTTTTGCCTGTACTTACTTCGTGAGTAGCTGTCATCATCGAGGTGATTCTGTCATCAAGATGACAAAATTATATTTGACAAAAAAATTAATAGCAATGATTTTATCTATTTAATGTTTACAAGTTTAATATGCTGTTGTTGAAAAACGAAGAAAATTATAATTCACTTTTTTTGAGTTTAATAATAAATATGTTATATTGTATTATTATAAAAATTGCGTATATTTGGACAGCTTAAATTTTTAGGGGCTTAATAATGAATAACTTTATGTGATTTTATTCATTAAATATAAATTCTTGATTTTTCAAAGACAAGATCTGATATAAAATTTGTATCTAATCTTGTCTTTGAAATACGATAGAAATCGTAATACGCCTACTTTGATAGAAATCGTAATACGCTTGAATGATTAATTTAAACTATATGTATAATTCGCAGATTGAATGTGGCATATATTATGTTTGTATCCATCAGTATATAATCATATATGTGTCGGCAAAGACATTTCTTTTTTTAATTTTGCAGTTTTTTAATTAGAATTTATTAAATAATATATATGGCACTATAAAAAATATAATGTGCATGTAATACGCACTTTGTAATATTCCAGTATATTAAAGCTCCTGTCTCTTCACTGCAGTCATATTGGATTATGACGTCAGAAGTAAGAAATCATATTAATTTTTTTTTTAATGCGATCACTTGTATTCGATTAATAAAATACATCGTAAACTACTTGTTTTATTATCCTGTATTAATAAATAATTGTATAACTCATCTGCATTTTTTTGTCCTACATTTTCAGCAAGAGCGGTCCTTATGTTAATTTTGACCAAGATTTATAGTTATTTAATAATTCACGAAGCAAAAAGAAAGTTTTCGATGTATTTTGCTAATCTATATTACCAAACACGAGTGTTCGAAGAAAATTCATATGATTTCTCGCTTGTGGTGTCATAATTCAATATGATATCAATAAGAAATCAGGACTCTTTGAATCAATAGTTCTGAAATTCTATCATTGAGCTGTATGAAGATGTGTCTGGCAAAAAAGCAAAATTTTCGCAATACGAGTCATCATCAAGAAGAATAGTTGAGTCAGTTTTTTCAGAGAAAATTATGACTATTATTTTCATTGTTGTTATTGTATTATTATAGTTCTATTTGGATTAAATATTATTAGTATGTTTTTATAAAAGTGTTTTTTCATTCGAGCGCGTAAACGCGAATAATGAGAATGTTGCGAGAAATTTATGAGCGTAGTACTACCGTTTCATTTATTAGCAACGTTTTAAATGCGAGAATATATTTACAAACATGCTATATTGCGATGCATGTATATAAAATATATAAAAAAATTTAATTTAGCAATTTATTATCAAAATACGAAAATTATTTCAGTATCACAAAAATACTCAGATACTATCTTTTACCTTTAATTAAAATATTCCTTGTAAGCAACCCTTGTAATTATTTATCTTTATCAGATTATTTACATCTTATTTAAGATCTTCTTAAAAAATTATTGATTTTATGTATAATTGAATATCAAAAAGTATTAGACAAATTAAATCAATTTATCCGTAAAATGTATTAATTTTCACTATTAATTATACTCATTAGATATTTTATCGTACATTTGGCATCCTTTTAATAAAAACATAAATATCTATCCTAATACAGAACCGATTTTCTGGTAATACAGAATTGATTTCCTTGTTCTGTAAAAGTTACATATGAGAGATCTTAAAGAATTCTGCTCGAATTATTTGCTTCAATCTAAAAACGAGATTAAGAAATATTCCTGTAGGATAACTACACAAATTTAAAGCATCTAAATTAACAATTTATAAATTTTTTAATTCACACTATATTTTATTTATCTTAAGAATAAAAAAATCGTAAATACATATTCTTTGAATTATAAACATTTTCGTACACAATAAAACATTTAATATTACATGCTGACATAACATAGTGCATGAATAATCTATCAGTTTATTCATAAATGATTCGATTTGAGGATTAAGATAGCGTTTATTAATGCTAGGAATTTCCGAATGACCGACAGTTTGTAAGAGGTTGATGTAAAACCTACATTTATAAAAAAATAATTATTTTCTAATATTCAATTTCTATCATTCAATAATTTTTTTAACTCTTAATATTTTTTTTAACTTTAATAAAAACAATTTTTATTGTAATATCATCTTTCTATGCAATTGCCCTAAACAAAAATGTTCTTATAAAACCCTTCACAATGACAGAGTATATGAGCGCAAAAATAACGAACGTAATCTCCGTAACTCGGCGAAAAATGTTTGTAAACTTCCTATCTATGATAGTATAAGATCACAATTACACAAATATTAAAACAACGAACGTTGTAACGAAAATGTTACTTTTGGCGATTTTATACAATCTTACTCTAACTGATTGATCTACTGCTAAAATCGCTTAAAAGGCTGCACTATTTCACTAGGATACTAGGAAATATGGAACAAATGGTAAACGGAAACAGTTTAATAATTTTGTTTGTAATCATTGTAATAACTAATCGTAAATAAATAATATTCAAAAATATATAATTTATTGTTATATTTTATTTATTTACATAATGGTACTCACCCGCATGCCTGGTTGGACGCGGTAGATGCTGCAGCTCTTGGAAATGATGATGTGCCGGCGCGGCTGACCAGGACTCATGATGGGGTTCCGGGGTTTGTTCTTGAGGACAGTGAGGTCTCAGGTCCAGCGGCTCTTGCCTCAAAGATTGCGTCAGCCAGCCCATGCCGCCCGTGCTCACTTGTATCTCATCCTGGACCAGCGCCGCCGGCGGCTGCTGCAGCTGCAGCAATATGCCCCCGCGATCGCGGGGATCGCGCGCATCCCGGTCGCCGCGGTGGAGCTGCAGCGGCGGCGGCGAGGCTGAGACGGGCGGCGTGTCCGGCGGCGTTCCCGGATGCGACAGCGTGGTGAGGTGCGCCGCGGCGACCGGCGGTGCCTTCACCAGAACTCCGTGCTGTACCTGAATGTGGGGCTGACCATACAATGGATGCGGCTGCTCCAATTCGTGCGCGGGTGGTGTCAGCGGTGCCAGGGTCAGACTCTGCGACTGCATCTGCCCAGGGAGCTGCACCACGCTACTGTTAACCATCACCGTTGGCGAATCCATTCGCACCTGCGAAGCAGAAATGCATCGACGTCTCGATATTATAATTACTCATACAGTACAGAACATTACAGTAATATTGCTGCAATATTACTGTATAAATATTATATAAATTGCTGCTATGTGGGTAGATTCAATCGCGAGATCCAAATTCTGATTTTTCGTATTCTTGCATATACTGTGCATTATTTCCATGTCAAGTATGTGATGAAAAATTCCGTAAGTATTTACATCGCGATTGAAATCTTTTGTGTAAATATTAAATATTATAAAAATATATATTAAATATATGTATTAAATACAATATATATATATATATATATATATATATATATATATATATATACCCTCTCACGAGCGTTGGCACAATCTTTACCGGACACCCTGTATATTAAATATAAAAATACATTAAATATTGAAACCTTTAATTTTCAAATAAATTATATACAATAATATATTGTTAATAAAAATATAGGAGAAAAAAGAGTAAGACGAAGTTGGTAAGATAAATCGCTCATTTTTTCGAGATGATAACAATAAATAATGAGAACCAATGCCCAACTCATTAGAGGCTTTTGATAATAATAAATAATTTTTTATAGTTTAAGTTCAATTTGTGAAGGAAAATAGATAATGCAATAAGAAATGTGTTTTTGATGTAACCATATGTAACTTTTAGATGTTTGTTAAATTGTTATAAAGAATGACATAATTGTAATAAATACTTTCGCTATCTTTATAAAATCATCGTTTACTATAGTTGATAAACTGAAGAAACGCGTGTAATAAGATATTAATATTTACCATTTTTCACATTGTAACATTTTAATGAGATGGATAAATATGGTGACGGTTGGGGATAAAATAACGAATGTCGTAAAATATGTCATACGATACAGTTGTTCTATAGACCTGAATAAAATTATTTAGCATAATCTATAAAGATTTCGAAAATAAATAGTATAACTGAGAATATTGGTTTTCCAATAATATATTTAAATATATGTATTATATATAAACAAAGCAGCATTGATTTATCATTTTTATAAATCAAAGTATCGTTTGCGATGACAATAATTGTGAAAGATTTTTATCTTGCTTGAAGCACTCAACGATGAAAACATTCAACATTACAAGTAAATAAAAAAGAATCCATTCTTTTTCAATTCTTTGCTCCACTTTATTTCATATGCTTTAATGCGGAAGAACAAAATGAAAAACGAATATTACAACAATAAAATTTTATGTAATTTTGTTACTTAATCGAATTTAAATCTGGAGGCCCTTAAAATAAATTATAATTACATAAAAAATAATATATATCATTTAATATATTAACGTATACTAATGCTCAGAATTTTCAAGTAATCGAACAATTCAAACGATCCGAAAATTTCAAGATCAAAATCTTAAATTAATCAGATTGCTCGAATCTAAAGATTTATTTAAACAGTTTGAATTGTCTTTAGACAATATATTGCGCAAAGTTAAACGATGTATTATAGATGGAGAACACAGATAATTAGGAGCTGTTTACTTTTTACAATAAGTATTAATTTTATTAAAATTTTTTTAAGATCCAGACTAATCAAACAACTGATTCTTCGATTCGAAATATAAAATATATCATTGGCTCCGTTCAAACTGTCTGTTACTTGAATCTCGAACTTTTTACTTTCAACTGTTCAAACAATTTAATCATACATATGGTTCAAATCTTTTATCTAAAATTTAGTAATAGTATTCTGATCAAAAGCAAAATTTGTTTAATTACATATGTCTTTTCTGATAAAGATCATCACACACACAATAAAATCATCAATGAATAAATGGATTTATATCTTGATTGATATATCTTCATTGCGTGTATCACTTAATACTTTCGTAAGAAAATATAATAGAACGTCAATGAAACGATATCGGGTATATCATTATCTTTCTGACCGCACTCTTTTGCGAAAGACAATCACGTATGTTAATCTCACTTGTAAAACCGCGATATAATTGGTTTATACATAACAGATAATATTTCGCTCATTTGCGACGCGTATGTACAATCTGTGAATGATAATCTAATTCTAATGTGTAACACAACATCTCTCTTATCCGGATAGTGAAATTATACAGAATGTCCCATCTAACGAACAATATTTCCTTTATAATTTTTCCTTTTTAGAATTAGAACTATTCTTAGAGAAAACATCGAAGAAAATTATTGTCTGTCGCAAACTTTTTCAATCTTTAATGCAAAAAATATCATTACAATTAATCTAAAAATTATAAATCTGTTAAAATAAAGTTCATTCAAGATATTTAATAGAAAAATAAGATTTTATTATCTGTTTGCATATATGTAAAGTTCAATTCCTTAAAATTTTTTTTTTTTTTTTATGTTTAATATACTTAAGTTTCACTTTTATCCTTCTTTTTTATAAGATAAATGTAAGCCATTATTCAAGTATATTTAATTAATATGTATATATAAGTAAGCGATACTAATTGTATTTTACATATCTAGATGTAGCGAAGAATATACAAAAAAAAAATTTTATATTTATATTATTTTATATATTTTTATTATACAGAGTGTCTATAAAATCTGTCCCCACCCCCTATATTTTGGAAACGGCTCAAAATTATGAAAAACCGTGAAATACGTGTTCAATTATTTCGAGGGGCTCCTCTTTTAAGGTGGTTGGAGGAGTTGTCTCTCCAAGGATGTGCCCCAGGAAAACCCCCACCCAAAAACTTCAAATGGATCCCTCCATATTGTAGTATATCATTTGAAAGGGCATAAGAAAAGAAAATTTTTGGCGCAAACCGGAGATTGATACTTTGATCCGTTCAGGAGTTATTTAGAGTCAAAGTTCGAAAAGGCCAATTTTCAAAAAATCGTTACTCCCATTTGGAAAATCCTAAAAAAACATTCAAGGTATGAAAGTGTTCGTCTTTTTAAGTCCTTTCCATAAAAAAATTCAGATTTGACCTTGGTTTTTTTTTAAAAGGGTACACAAAAAACTGTTAAACTCAAGATGATGCCAAAATTTTTTTTTCAAAAACCTACGATTTGCGCCAAAAAATTTCTTTTTATGCCCTTTTAAATGATATACTACAATATAGGGGGTTTTATTTGAAATTTTTGAGTTGGGGTCTCCCTGGGGCATCCGCTTAGGGAAGCAATTCCCCCATCCCCCTTAAAAGAGTAGTCCCACGAAATTATCGAACACGTATGTTGCGGTTTTTCATAATTTTGAGCCGTTTCCGAAATATAGGAAGTGGAGACAGACTTTATATTAGACAATATTGTATGTGTTGTATTGTGTATACGTATTTTATTTATAGAGGGAAGCAACCCCCTTAAAAGAGTAGTCCCACGAAATTATCGAACACGTATGTTGCGGTTTTTCATAATTTTGAGCCGTTTCCGAAATATCCGAAATATAGACAGACTTTATAGACATTCTGTATTTTATATTATGACAATATTGTATGTGTTGTATTGTGTATACGTATTTTATTTATAGCAAATAAATTATGGTAATAAATTATATATATATATATATATATATATATATGTATATATATATTTCTCTCTTTTCTTCGCTCTCTAATGTAACAAGGCAGGTGTGGAGTATACATTTTGCATGCATGTAACAAAACATTATACAATTTCTCTCATGCCTTCAATAAATATTCAATACTTTTATTACAATACTAAAACAAGACAATCCTATGTATTGATTATGGGAGGAAAGTTTAGCTAAACTAGAATTAATAAAGAAAATTTGAGAAGCATTTGTGAGAGGATCACCTGGATCCTATTAGACCTAATAAAACCAACAATTTTTTCGGCCATGCGGTCTATCCCCTTTCTTTTTATTTTATTATTATTTTTTGCATTTGTGCTATACGCTTTCTTATTGATACTTCTGATGGGAAGACGATAAGTGGCTGACAACAAGCACTTTAAATTCTAGATCCAGGTACAAAAAACATGCTATTCTCAAGCAGATTAATCGAGAGTAATGCTCCATTGTGTGAATTTGGCCGCGGGATGCAGGTGTGTATAAAAGTGAGCAATTTATACATTAATACTTCCACACATTATTGCCTTTGAACTTCACGTATTATATTCTAATACTCCAAATATGCCTCGCTCTCTTTCGCTCCTGCCTCGACTTCGCATGAAACATTTGTTAAATCCAGGTGATCGTTTCCTAAGGAAAAAGTGGCACAAGGTACCATATTCTGCAAGTAGCCCACTATGTATTTTCCATTATTCTGAAATTAATCAATTTTGTTGCAGTTTTTATTCAGAATTGATGAAAAAAAGGGAAATATGCAGAATATGCAATATCTTACCATGGTATAAAACCAGGCACACTGTAAAGACTCGCGATGCAATGTTAATTCTAACTATTTAACAGGGCGATAATGAAGTGTTAAATCTGTCGAACTTTTCCAGATGAAATGTCTAACCTGAAAAGCCATCAAACATATGTAAAACCTTTTTTCAACACAATAACAAAAGCTGTTTCGAACTTTATACACACCGTTCTCAAATCCATTGAAGGATCCAAAACCTGATCGTTACATAGCAGTTCGACTTTTTCCTCGGCCAGTGAAGAATTATCAGCATTAGAATCTGTATTTGTTCTATCGCCCGCCGGTGATCCACTTGAAACAGTATTTCCACCTCCAGCTACCGAACCTGAATCGCTTCCTGCACCGAGCACTTTATCGTAAACATGCTCCGCCACTTTACGCACTTGTATAAAATCATTTGCAATTAAACGGTCCCTTAAAAAAAAAATAACATGTAAGATTATTCAATCATGTTAAGATATGATTTTAAGATTTAACAATGTGACACGTACTTCTTCAAACTTTTTACACCTGAAGAAGCATGTGGAAGAAGATAGAAAGGTATTTTAATGAATTGTGGAAGATTCTTGTCCACAACGATATTCACTACCCATGGTGGTACAGTTTCATTCAATAGGACACCTTCGGTTTCTCCTGCAGCATCTCGAACTAATAATCGGTAGATAGTTCTACCTCCCACTTCACTGAAAAGTAAAAAAAAGATATGATAAATTTATTTAATAAAATGTTTTTTAACAGTCTCTGCATACCTGAAAATGACAGGTGTATGACTAGGTACTGAGAAGTATGGATTTCCTCCATTTGTATGTATGGGACCGTTTCCGTCATTGCCATTACCTTCATTCTCGTCGTCAACGTGCAATGGCCTCCACCAATGTTCAAGTAACGCTTGTAACAAAAGGTTTCCATAATTCACTAAAACATTGAGAAAACATTACAAATCTCTAGATTTAATACCACGAATATTATTGATGAATAAACAATTGATCACCTTTCTGATCTACAGCATCATTCTCTGCTAGACCAGTCTCTTTGGCAGAAACCCATGCAGAGAAACAATCATTTTCGTCTTGCCCTAAGTGTATAGTTAACATCTGCAATAATTGAGAATATTTAAAACTTAGATTCAAGCCTGAAAAGCAGTTTGATCCAACAAAGAAATACATACTCCTGTTTTGAGATCAACATTAAACCAGTTTGGAACATACACCACTTTATTTCTTTTTTTACACTCCTGATCGAAATCGACTCTGCCTAAATCTTCCACTTTACACGCCTTCAATACATCATATAATGCAACATTCTCTTCTGTATCTTTTGTTAAAACGTGTCTTTTATCATTTAATATGTGATAATGTCTTATGGCAGGACCTCCTAATATCTTTTGTGCAGGTTCAGTATTTCTTAAAATGTTGCTCGATACATTACTGGCAGAATCACAATAATCTCCAAGTCCTAATTCTTGCCAATCTTTCTGACTTATGGACTGAAATATATAACAAAAAATATAGTTTTTTTTATGCATTCTCTCTTTTTATACAAATTTGTTACTGTAGTATAAAACTTTACCCAATTATTAATAGTTGATTCGCTGGTTGCAACCCAAATACTAGATTGATCTGGCGTCATAGCCATTTTGAGTATAGGCGCTTTTTCCTCACAAATAACTGTATATCTCTCTGCATAACTTAATTCTGTCATCACTACTCTCTTATCCCTGCCTCCAGATATTACATGACTAAAATTATCTGTTGCCTAAAATACATTAGATTTTCAATATAATAAAGTATACACAACAATATTAATTTTATTTGCATAACAATTCTATTGATAACTTTGTATATATAATTACCAATAACGCCCATACTCCTTCCTTATGAACTCTGAACGTTTGCACGCATCTTTGTTGACCAAGTGACCATAATTTGATAGTGCCATCGGAACTTGCCGATAAGCACTGCGTACCATCCCTATTCAGGACTAATGCTTTAATATTGTCTGTGTGACCACGAAGTTTCATGAGTTTGGTACAAAATCGTGGATCCCATACACGAAGAACTTTCTCTGTGCTGCCACTCACGATAATCGTGCCAGTCTGGTTCATGGCAAGGCTATATATGGAATCTCTGTTTCCACTCAGGGATGATGCTACAATGCAGTTTAATATGTTAATTACATGTAAAAGAGACAAAGCGCAGTACTGAATATATGATTGCAAGTACATACTTGTCACTGTGTTATTACTCGCAGTAAGAGCAGTCAACGTATTGACATCCCACAGAAATATCGACTTGTCTAGACCCGCACTAGCAACTTGCTCTCTATCTTTGGCATATGCTAATGCTTTGACATAGTCTTTATGTGTGCGCAGTGTTGACATACAAAAACCTTTATGCGCATTCCATACCTTAACAGTTGTGTCGGAACTTGCAGATATAACTGTACAGATATTAATAATGATTGAGAAATTGGCATGTAAGAGATTAAGAATTTTATAATAATATTAAAGACTTTAGAAGCGTGTACATACGATTTTTGCCACCGCAACATAGCACTATATCATTGACCCAATCTGTATGGTGTTCCATAGATTGAATATATGGTTCTTTCATATTTCTACAATTCCATATCCTTATGATGCTATCTCTACCAGCAGAGTATAGCCTATGCAGAACTGGATCATATTGTAAGGAATTAACACCGGCTCTGTGCTGCTTCTCTACCTCGTCTCTTATAACCATAGAAACCTTTAAGAAAAATTAATTGTGAATTAATATATAGCTCTTTTCTTGTCTTCATAATTTAAATTTTATCATCGGTATCAATGTATCGAATAAGTATAATCATACTTCAACAATGTGTAAACTCCAATTTCTTTACAATATTTGATTCGGATATCTCGAGAGAAATAAAATCAACAAATGTATATGCATTGGATTAAATTCCAAGAAATGAAAAATAAATTTCACAATAAATTTACAAGCGCTATTTTGTACCGGAAACTAACGATTATCTTGTTTAGATGCAACGCGTTATCGTATAATCCTACAAATTAACCGTGACAGGCACTCTAGTTTCCACCCGTCACCGTGGAAACGATTACGATGCCGACTATCCTCGGCACCGATGCTCGCCAGAGGATCGGCAAATTCCTCGTCTTATCATCGGGAGGAGAGAATCTGTCGATCTGTCGTACCTGTACTTTCTTACGGGCGCTCTGCCCGCCCGTCTTGTGAGCTGCCATTATGTCCGGGATTGTTTTATCCAGCGGATCACGGCGATCCTGCGTCGGGATCGGGATGGAAGTGCGTTTCACGGCGTACGTATGTTATACGATTCAAGCTGCGACGACAGTTCCACGTTGCGCTCGATCGTTACGTTGCACTCGCGGCGTCATTCCGTTAATGGTTCGTTAGCACTGTCGTTGTGCGTGTTGCCGATGCCGATCTCACTGCCGGGATGCACGCGTGCGGCAAACGTCGTCGCGCGGCATCCTCATCATCATCATCGTCGTCGTCGTCGTCGTCGCCGTTGTCGCCGTCGTCGTTACCGTCATGATGCACCGAACTCTGATATTGGAACGCGCAGTTGCGTTCAAAAACTTGTTGAGAGAGAAAGAGAGATGGTCCAAGAGGTAGCGCTATTTCTCTCGGTATAGTTCGCAATTCCTCCGCTATTTTGAATAATTTTATCTTCCTTGAATTCTTCCACGCTATATATGTAGAATAACATATATAAAAGATTTATATTCGTTTTTTGCTTGTGCAATTACTGCTAGATTATATTTTATAATGAATTCTTGTATTAAAATCCTCGCATACCGGAGTCTCGTAGCAATAGATTTTTTATACTGATGTTATTTATTTAACGCGATCACACGCAGTTACAAATAAAATTATCAGTATATTTATTTGTTTTTCTGTACTTTAGCCATTGATTATTTCTGATAGGCTTTGATATATCTTTGATAGCCTTTGATATTTTATACGATAATCTTTTTCATATCTTGAAAGAAAAATTTACTATTTTAAAAAACACTAAAAATGGACATAGTATGAAAAGGGATTTTTAGATACGCGCTAGTTTTCTAGTTACTCCGAAATGAATCGGATATCTGTGTGTGGATAATAATTTGGTATCCAGCTAATATTTATAATAAATCGATACTCGGATAATACCCGAAAAAATCCGATAATACCAAACATGTTAAAATTTCGAAAAATATGTAAATATATACAGCGGAATTCAATCGCGCGAAAGAACAACCGCGTGAGAACACGACAGCTAGTGCGCGCATGCGCGCGCGCCATCTCCATATGTGTACGCATATGTATGTATGTAGCTAGCATACGAGATATATGTGTGGATTTGCTGTGCACTGCTGTGCGAACGAGAACGAGTGCGAAGGAGTTGGGAGGTGCGGAGTAAAAGTTGATTGAGCGCTGCCAGGAGGCTGCCCTCGATGGATTCGCGTCGTTCGTCGTGTCGTTTACGTCCGCCATCACCAGTTAACCTATCGATACTCGTTTAACGCTCGCGCCGCCACCCCCGTTTACGAGACCCACAACCCACAACCGCGTTTCGCCCTTCGCGATTCTAACCTAAGATATCGCCCACACACGACGGCCGCCGCACGCGAAAGAGAGAGACACGAATGCCATGCTCCTTTGATAGAGACAACACGTCGTCGTCGTCGTCGACACGGACGGACTCTACATCGGCGCGCATCGCCGGAGACGTCGTCGATAGACCGATAAAGGCCCCGACGACCGGGAACGGCGTTCGTCCTAAGTATAGACCCCAGTTTTACAGATATACATACACATACCTGCCTCTCTTGGCCAGTGTCGCAGCTTGTCGTAAATTCGTATCGCGCGGATATGTGGGGTGTGGCTGCCGGTTTGTTGTTCTTTGTTTGCAATATTTTAAGCTTGTACGACGCAGACCATTCAAGAGGTTAGGGTAAATCCTCGTGGCGATAACGATAATTGTCATCCGATGGATTGTAACCTATATCCTAATCGTGTATGCGAATTTATTCCCTTTTTTTTCTTTTTCCTTTTCATATTTTTTGACAATTTCGCAATTTCACGCAACCTTTCGTGATACAACTGTAAGCAGCAACACGCTGCATTTCCGTTAAAATCGCGCTGTTGAAATTATGATTGATTACACATTATGTACGAGAAATGTATATCAAACAAAAGTAAATAAACAAATCAATAAAGATTTGTTTGGTATGTCTCAATTATACTCATATATTTAATACTTTTATTTATAGGTGCAGTTACTATACCCATAAACCTAATACTATCGCTGCGTATAGTAATGTCTGTCCCTTCTTCGTCCTCCAACAATATATCTGACAATAATAAACTAGGCGGCGCTAGTCCTAGTCCAATTGAAGGTATCGAGGGAATACCAGGACCTAGTTCCTTGGATCCTATGCATTCAATATTGCCGCAAGACGAAGAATCTGAGGATTATGGAGATGACGAAGATGAGGGCGATGAAGAGAGTAGCGAAGGAGAAAGTGAAGTAAGCTAATTATATATATATTTGTTTGTTTATAACATCCCTTTTTGATGAATATTAAAATATATAGAGATAACCATTTCAATCATACTCCAATTAACTTAACTGACTATTCAATTAATAGAATTGCCTGCAGCAAAATTTCTAATATATAATTCGTCGTTTCTCTAATTTAATTTTTCTTCCCATGCAATTAAGTTAATTGGAATTTGATGAAAGTATTTCTTAATTTATATGACTAAATGTTGCAACTTGGCTTTTATTTAAAATTTTTTTCAAGTAAATTACAAAACTGAACTACAAATTTAATAATGTTTCAATAATTAATGCTCTATTAATTATATCATTAGATTAGCGACAGTGGATTGTTCTGCGATACCGAATGTACAGCCGAAGTTGAGAGCAACAATGGTCAATCACCTGTATCGCAATCTCAAATGGTTATCCCTGTACAATGTCCAATGTTGCCTACTAACATGTCATCAGATGTTATCCAGCCTCAAAGAAAGCGAAAGAGTGAAACAGATTGTTGTTTACCATGTAAAAAACTTAATCCAGAGGAAAAGTCTCATACTATGTAAGCATTGTATTTTTTATCTTACAAAATACTGTTTGACATGAATTTTAATACTTCTCTTTCTCAGGTCTGCAAGAAAATTAGATGATAAAGGTAAACATGTGAGATGTGTCATTCCTACAAAGGATAACCCTCCTCCAGAATTGAGTAGTTGGCTTTTGCAATTTCAGGTATATGGCTTATGTATTTATAAAGTACTAAAGTAATAATAATAAATCTATATAGTATATATTGATAAGACTCTACAAAATGTAATAGTAAACTTTCTTAAAAATCAAGTAAAAATGATGTTTGTTACAGAGATGGTCAAACGCGGAGAGAATGTTAGCAATAGACGAATTAATAGACAGATGCGAGCCTACACAGGTGCGTCACATGATGCAGGTGATAGAGCCTCAATTTCAGCGAGATTTTATATCGCTCCTGCCGAAAGAGTTAGCGCTATCGGTGTTGGCGTTCCTAGAGCCGAAGGATCTTCTAAGAGCGGCGCAGACCTGTCGAAACTGGCGATTCCTAGCCGACGACAATCTACTGTGGAAAGAAAAGTGCAAGGCGGCCGGCATAGAAGACTTGAAGGATCTGCCACCGCTGAAACGCAAAAACTGCCGTAACGGCAGTCACTCGTCGCCATGGAAACAGGCTTATATGCGACAGCATAATATTAAAATGAACTGGAGAACAAAACCGATCCGTACACCGAAAGTGTTGAAGGGTCATGACGATCATGTTATTACATGTTTACAGTTCTCCGGCAACCGGATAGTTAGTGGTTCCGATGACAATACTCTTAAAGTGTGGTCTGCCGCGACAGGCAAGGTAATTAATTGTAAAGATGAGTACAAATTATGAAAATTCAGCTATTTTGCTAGTGATAGAGAAAGAAAAAAATGAATGTTAAGTATCATGCAATATCGTATTTTCTCGATGTTTCAGTGTTTACGGACATTAGTCGGACATACCGGTGGCGTGTGGTCTTCGCAGATGTCCGGCACGATCGTTATCAGTGGTAGTACGGATCGTACTTTAAAAGTATGGAACGCGGAGACTGGCCATTGTATTCATACTTTATATGGTCATACGTCGACGGTGAGATGTATGCATCTGCACGGTAACAAAGTCGTCAGTGGTAGTAGGGACGCGACGCTAAGAGTGTGGCAAGTGGACACGGGGGAGTGCTTACATGTGCTCGTGGGGCACCTAGCGGCGGTCAGATGTGTGCAATATGATGGAAAGTTGGTGGTCAGTGGTGCCTACGACTACATGGTCAAAGTTTGGAATCCTGAGCGCGAGGAGTGCCTTCATACCTTACAAGGACATACTAACCGCGTTTATTCCCTCCAAGTAAGTGTACTGTTTTACTTTTTTTTAATTTTCGTGCTTGTTGCCTCGCCATTGAAGCCGTTCCTGTTTGCCGTTTTTCTTCGTTAGTTCGACGGTGTGCACGTTGTTAGCGGATCGTTGGAGTTTCGCATTATTTGTCTTCTTTCTAAAGTTGCTTTAAAATTAAATTATTTTAATCTGCATTTCAAACTTATATAGAAAATTCTTTTAAAAAATTATGTATTTACTTAAATTTACGTATTTATATAGAAAAAAATCTCGAGGAAAAAAAACAAAAAACAGAAATGCATTATTTTCGACATGTAACGTAATTAAAATTAATTTAAAGATTTATAATTTCTTAATGGAAATGTTATCACATACATATACACACGAGCACATAAATTAGAATTTGGTTTTAAAATTAATAATCTCATTTTTAACATGTTAAAAAATATAAGATTCTCGTCATCTTGGAATTTGATTATTCTCTGTAAATAAATATAAAGTATTTTGCAATTATCATGTAAAACCACAAAAAAATTAATATAAAAACATGTAATTTATAAACATTTATAAAAAAGAGTGCAATTACACATTGCAAATATATTATGTAATTTTACTTAAATACATTTTTTACATGGAATATTTAAAAAAATTTATTTTCATAAAAATATCATATAATTCAAAATAATCATATAATTTAAAAAAATGCAATTATATTCTACAAATGTATCACTTTTGGGAAAAAGTAAGGTCATAAGAGGTTAGTCATCATTTAAAACGTTCATTTTTTTTCTACTACTTCTCTCTATGCTAAACTGTGGGAAGAAATAAAGATTTACTCTGTGTGCAGTATTAGATTGATATATGCAATCGAATCAAATATTTTCCTGCCCTCTTAAATCAAAAAGTAATTTCACAGAGGAGTGGGTGATCAAGATATTTTCATAAACGTTTTTATGGGACGCTCACCTCTCGTTTGACGTCAGCGGGATCTAGATGATCGAGAACAAACTCCTGCACGTATTCTCTCGCTAGATGGTCCTCAGCTTCCATCTTAACCTCGTCGACCTCTACTTCCACTTCCTCTACCGCGTCAGTCGCGGTCGCATACGTGAGCGTCTCCTGGCTGCCGCCACCGTCACCGCCGCCGCCGCCGCCGCCGTCGCCGTTGCCGTCGCCGTCGCCGTCGCCGTCACCGCCGCCGCCACCGCCTCCACCGTCGCCGCCACCACCTCCGCCACTACCCGAGCAACTTGTGATCGTCGTTTGTTGTGTTGAGACTACTTTTTTTTATCGAATATCCCGCTAAAGAGAAAACCAGACAAATGACGTGCGTAGATCAGCAACGCCACGTGAGTAGCAAATGCGAGACTCCAAGTTCCGATGAGATTTTTTTGAAGCTTATCACTGAAGAGAGACTCGAATACTAATTATTGATAAATTCACCAAGAGCAATGAGTTGTGATTTGTCAATGTATGCTCTTAGCTTCTTGTTCCTTTTTTATTTCAGTTTTGCTACTAATTATGCTCGTGTTCGTTTCGGAACTTGCCTTTAATTTCGGTTCAAATGCCATATTTTTGCGATTATAAGATCCTTTTACATATGGTATATTTGTCTAAGAAATACGCAAATCGGTTGCGCAGGCTTGGACGGCAATAGATTAAATAACTTGGCGAGGGATCCTCCTCTCAAAAAGAGATAATGACGTTGTAACAACTTGCTTTTCGTAAGTCAAGTAAAAGATTAATCGTTCTTCCGGAATCCCACAATAAAGCAAAGTCAAAATAGATTACGATAGATATGAAGCAATATTATGTACGAAGTCGTTGGCATGTGCCTCAATTAATTAAAAGATATCTCTTCGTGTAAGAAAAGAAAATTTGACTCGAAAAGAAGGATCTCACTTGTTTATTCTCACGATATTTCTATTCTGTTTTATCATATTCACTTTACAACACTGAACATTGATCTTCTCACATTAACCACAATATCAGTTGTCGATATCCATCCGCAAACGCACTGACACTTGAACACTTTTTCCCGCTAAAAAGCGAGTTTTCAGCGGTCTTTTCGTCTTGCAGTCTTATCCGCGACTATCGTGTCTTTGCGATCAATCGTAAATCCTGATTTTTTTCCCCCAAACCGCTCGACAAAATCGAGAAATATGTACATAATCTCCTAATTAGCGAAACATCGCTAAATCGAACGCCGTTGATTCCACCCTCCAAAATCGATTCGTGGATCGAACAATCTCTTCTCCTCCGTCGATCCCACGCATATACACTATACTTCTTTTTTATTTTTACGCTTTTAGAATGAAATCAGCAAAAACGCGATTGACGGACTGAGAGAGAAAGAGATGAGGAAAAAGAAAAAGACGCGCTTAAGAAGGAGAAAAAGTGATCGCGTGACAGACGGCAGTAGATACGCCGTCGGAGTGATGACTGGCCAGCCGTATTGCCGGGAGTAAACGCAGGTCGTGTCTTCGCGCGCAGGACAATCACGTGACGTCACACGCGGTAGGCGTGGTCGTCTGCTATTCGGTGCCTCTGACGCGCTCGATGATTGGCGCGTCCCGGATGGCGCCGCCATTTGTATGCTCCGCCCATATACCCCCCACCAAACCGACGTAAATCTCTTTTGATCGCGCGCCGCGCAGATCCGGTCATCCGAGGTGCCCATTAATTTCTAAAGTGATTATTATAATTTTTCAGTTTGGGCTCGGATCGCGTGTAAGTTCTACTTCCCTCGCGCCTCTATCCCCCCTTCTTTCTCGTCGCTCCTCTTACTTCTTCCTCTCTTTCGTGAGCCGCCGCCGATATTGCTCCGACAAAGCCGCGTTCCCTCCTTTCGTCTGCTCTTATAGAACACGCCGTATATATTTTGCGGTTATTTTCACTTCTTTTCTTCTGAATTTCAATTTACCGGCGGTCGGTACGGATGACGGTTTTATCTGACAATCGCGATCTCCCAATCTAAATGAGGCAAGATTTTCCGCACGGACACCACGGCGGACGAAGATACGGAGGTTACAGGGTGTCGCATCTATGATGCGTCGTTCTCGTCTGAGAGAAGGAAGGAGACAAGTGTGAAATAAATACTTGCCGCGGGTATCTGATCGCTGATTAAAGAGAGAAAAAGAAAGAGAAAGAGAGAGAGAGAGAGAGATATTGGCCCGCGTTTTTGAATTTCTGGCTCTCGAAATTGAAAGCTTGTCTCAACGAAATTGATCGCCGCGCGATTTATTTCATATTTATGTGAATCATCTTTGACACAGTTAACGTGATGACCTTGTTCCTCATCAGACACGTGAATACATATCGATACTTTTATTTTGACAATACAAATGTATACCATATAACAACCTTTATCTAACACAATATAATCTAACTTCAGATTTATTTAAGAAAGCATGTTTTTAATAAAATGATGATGTGAAATGAGTTCTATGCTGTATATATATGACAATGATATTTCCATTGCTTATATTTCAATAAACATTAGTTTTAGAAAGTGTTTAATTAAGAATATCTTGTTATTTTATTATAAGTACTTTTCTTATAAATACTCTTTCTTATGCTAAAAATTTGTAATCTTTTTTCTAAAATATCTTTGTGTAGACATATTTTAATGCGTATGTTGCGTATGAAATAAAGAACATAAATTTGTGCAAACAACAAACATCCATTATTGTTATAATTTCTACAAAATAATGTAATTGTGCAACTGTTTTATGATTTATATTTATTTCCTACATTTAATGATAAGTATATCATAGAAAAAATAAATATAAATCATAATATTTCTTAAAAGAAATTAATTTCTGTTTCAATGAATGAATAAGCAGTAACAACCAATCCATTGATGATACATTCAATTTTTTATTTTATCCATTATAAAAAGATAAACATATTTTTAACATCTCATATATTTCAATTTAGGATTTCTTTAAAAAAAACTTCACCTATAGAATCAACAGAAAAAAATGTAGTTCTGTATTCTATTTAGTTTCTTAAAGTTTAATTCATGAAAAAGCTTCCTTTTTCAATCTCTCATAATTCAAAAATTATTGGCGCCTCAACATTTTTATTAAAAAAAATTCTCTATAACTTAATTAAAATATTTGTTTTAAAAAAATAATGCGTGAAAAGTGAGGCGACTCTACATAGATTATTATTTTTTGTATAATAATCGATTTTTCAAGAGAAAGAAACTTCAACGAGTCGATGAAGCTTGATCTTAGGCTTTAAGGTCTATCTCTTCTTTAACCAAACATATAGCAAGATAACTTCAACAAGATAGAATCTCGTCATCGACAGGATCATCACTCAGGAGCATCGTCGCCCAGTAAAAACTCGAAATAGCGACGAGCAAGTGACAATGGGTTTGGCCATTTCGTTGAGCGCAAGGAATTTGTCGACGCTGCAGTTCAACATCCTCCGTCCACCGTTTCCTTCTCCGTTTTACCATCGCCATTTATTCGCGCTCGATATATGCTACTCGATTTCTTAGTGTAACAAGTGTCGGAAATTTTCCACTCGCCGAGAGTGCACTAGTTGCACGAAATATAGCGCTCGACAGCCACCTGCCCATACAATACGCGCACTTTTTAAAATTATTAAAACTTGATCAATGCAAAACAGATTGTTGTATTTAAATAAAAGCGAAATAAAAGCAAAATATTACACACAATTTTTATGTTTTAAATATTTGAATACTAATAAAAAAAATTTTTAAATGCACATTTTATACAATCTACAGTTTAAAAAAAAAAAATTTACTTATATTTATTTAAATTTAAATTTTACGCAAATTTTAAGTTGCATAAAAAGAAAGACTTAAGACCAAAATAAGATATAAAAACATTTGCATGCTCGAATCGCATTATATGTATATAAGATGCAGCTGTAAATTATAATAATAAATTATTTGCAACTAAATAATCAACTAAATAATAAAAAAACGGTTACATGCGTTATGTATATATTTAACACATTATTATAATATATGGCAATACAAAGTTTCATAAAAAAAATCACAAATATCAAAAGAGATATTTACGATTCTTTATATTAAAACTATAATTTATGATCATTGATATCACACTTTTATACGATCTAAAATTTAAAATAATAAAAAACACTTAAAATATTAAAATATGTATTGGCAAGTTATTAAAAAAATAAAAATAATCTATAGATTTACAGAAACATATATGCCTTAATGCGACCCAAACATGTCAAGTTTTTACATTTTATTTTGATTTAATGACTCAATTATAAACGATAAAAACGATTTTTAAATCCATAAACATGTATTTACATACTTTGCATCTATTTATACATGTTTTATAAACAAATTTTGTATGAGTTAATCTAGCATTAATGTCTGATAATAATATAAGAAAATATTAAACTCTTGAGATTACATACGATGTTATATTTGAATGTTTTAAAAATTTTAGCTTTTTGTCAAATTTGATCTAAAAAAAGTACCTATTTAAAGTCATTAAAATTATTTAAATCAAATGTTAATATAGTGTATGAATGAGTTTTGTTTCATTATAAACGATGTTATCAATGTCTAAATATTTTCACGATTTAAAACTAATTTAAAAAAATTATTTAAATGGCCTCAACAAACCATAAAAACAGCAAAAAAATTTCCTTGCCATCTTTAATGGTTTTGAAAAGAAAATACTTTGTGTGATATACTGTATATAATTCTTTTGTTGGAAAATATCTAAAATATATTAATAATATCGATTTCCTTTTTTTGCGAAGTTCGTCAATTTTCTCACAAAACACTATAGTTTCCACATAATTTTTATTAATCTATATAGGGTCACTGTTGACTCAATACATTTTTTTCACTATAAAATAAGATTTTAACAAAATTTGATCGAGCAATGTATTTTCTCTCTCTCTCTCTCTCTCTCTCTCTCTCTCTCTCGAAGAAATGTATATATTTATATATGTTTATTATTAAATTTCAAACATAATTTATATACTACAATTTATATACTATTTTAAATATAATATATACAATATATACACATAACTATAAAATATGACCAATTTAATCAATCTAGCAAAAGAGAAATATTCTATTCGATTTTATAGAAAAGTTTCGCATTATTTGTCTTTTGAGACTACTTTTT